TTATTTGCGACAACTTTATTTCGCGATTTACCGGGAATAAACTAGTTCGCGACGAATTAATTTTCGCGATCAAGCCTTTTTTGGAACTGTTTTTAATAGAAAAAAAGACTTTAAGGACCCGTTCGCAGCGAGGAATATTTGCAATGACCGAGGCTCTCTTGAACCTCGCAAAAATTTCTCGCACGTGAAAAAAAGTTGGTTTACAGTATATCAATGATCCATGTAAAATACACACAAAATTCCTTTCTGATCTCTATAGTCTTTAAACATATGAATATCATTCGTATCCCAACTCCATGAATTATCTGGGAAGGCTGGGTGATTGTGGCCATTTTCAGCATATATTCCTTTAGCAAATAGAAATATATTACACCTACCATCAGGAAGTTCAAACAGTTTGGGAGGCAGGTCTCCGAAGTAGTCGTGATGCAGGGCTTTGTGAGCGGAGATTCGCCTGGAAGGAATCATCTGAAGGAATTGCACTGCGATGCTCTCAGCATTGGGGATGAATGCCATTTTTGGAATAGCCTCAGTTAATGAGGATAACTTTGGGTATGTGACAAATTTTTCTGGTAGTAAAAAATCAAAATTTCAGAACATGACACATATTAAAATGTTCTTTTCTTACTTTGTAGAATTCATAACAAAGCAGTTTTATTTTCCTTGTAAGTGAACAAGTAAGTGCTAAAATCATCTAGAATTGACTTACTGATGTCATATTGAGGGTATTTAGACTTACTGATGTCATATTGAGGGTATTTAGACACTCCCTCCCAAGTGTTTTCTGTGGGGGTTCCCAGCACCTACAAAAAATAAATTCTTTCATAAATGCCTTAGTGATAAGCAAAGCTTGAGTTCATTGTAAATAAGGTTATCTTATCTGTACACAAAATAACTTACAACTAACAGTTATTCACAAATTAGAAAAACCGAGATATTGGATCCTCATTGACATTCATCTTTGCTGGCCAACAGTTTTCAGTCAATTCCACCCCCATATGGAAGCAGACTGGACCAAAAAATCTTGGCTACCAAAGAAATTGGCAAAGATGCTAACTACTTGTCATTTCTCATAAAAGTGTTGCATAGAGGAAAAGATTTGAGGGCCTTAAGATTACTACAAGACACCCTCATTTTGATAACAGACTACCATTTATTTTTTACTTAGAAATGGTTTATACTTGCACAGGAAAACCAATGTCTTTTATTTGATCTCTAACAAGTTTTTTTAATAGAACGATAAAAATGTCTATATTCTGATTATCCCTTCTATAAAGTAAAAAAGTGGATTTTCTAAAAAGTACACATTTACAATTAAAAATATTTACATCCACTTTATTACATGTGTTTTGTATTTTTTTCTGAAACAGCTGTAATATTAATTCGTTTTATTAACTCACCCTGAAAATTTTATCTAGTTGATCATATGCATCTTTCATTCCAGGAAATGTGGCACTGCCAGAGATCATTTCTGTGAAAATACAACCTACACCCCTGTAAAAAGAAAGAAGAAAAAACTAAATAACAATAAAATACAACCTACACCCCTGCAAAAAGAAGGAACAAGAGGCCCATGGGCCACATCGCTCACCTGAGAAGCTTTGACCATTCTGTTCTTTACCAGATTTCCCCCTTAATACATAATGCATCCCCATCCTACCCCACTGATCATAATTTAGACATTTGAAATCTACACTACCCCATGATCCTTCCATGTGCACATAAGTTTCAGCTTTTCTGGCCCAGTGGTTCTTGAGAAGAAGATTTTCAAAGATTTTTCCTATATATTTCTATGTAAAACTTTGATTCCCCATTGTGGCCCCGCCCTTCCCCCGGGGGTCATGATTTGAACAATTTAGAATCTACACTACCCTAGGATGCTTCCACATAAGTTTCAGCTTTTCTGGCCCTGTGGTTCTTGAGAAGAAGATTTTCAAAGATTTTTCCTATATATTTCTATGTAAAACTTTGATTCCCCATTGTGGCCCCGCCCTTCCCCCGGGGGTCATGATTTGAACAATTTAGAATCTACACTACCCTAGGATGCTTCCACATAAGTTTCAGCTTTTCTGGCCCAGTGGTTCTTGAGAAGAAGATTTTTTAATGACCCCACCCTATTTTTGTCTTTTCTTGATTATCTCCCCTTGTGAGGGGACTTGGCCCTTTATATTAACAATTTAAATTCCCCTTCACCCAAGGATGCTTTGTACCAAGTTTGGTCAAAATTGGCCCAGTGATTCTTGAGAAGAAGTCGAAAATGTGAAAAGTTTACAGACGGACAGACGGACAGACAGACGGACAGATAGACAGACAGACGGACGGACGGACGACGGACAAAATGTGATCAGAAAAGCTCACTTGAGCCTTCGGCTCAGGTGAGCTAAAAAACTAAATAACAAACAAAAATAAAAATACAAACTTCATACCTATATTTTAAAAATATCAATCATAATAGAATATATCTATACCCATGTCACAAAAATGTAATGTTACAGTTGAACTTTGGTACAATGTATCTCGAACACTGACATCTCGAATATCATGGATATGCTGAAGTGATTTGGAAGTCCCAACCACTTATTCTTTAAGTATTTTACCCTCTATAACTTGATTTATCAGATATCTAAGTTTTTTCTAGGTTCCACTGAGTTTGAGATAACAAGATTTGACTATACTTAACTGAAGTGAGGCTACATTTACCACATTACATGTACCAGAGATGACTTAGAGAGGGGAAGTTAAAGATACCACATGTTCAGAGAAAAGTGAAGTTTTATTTACCACATGTCTAGAGATGTGGAGTAGTTAGTGGAGCCCAGCAGGACATCAGGTGGGCGGTACCACAGAGTCACCACCTCATGGGAGTAGGTGTGGCTAGGAATCGATTTGGCTCGGGCTAAACCTAAGGCAGAGAGTGAAAAGATACAAATGTTAACATCACTGAAAAACACAGAAATATTGTGAAAACAGAGTTATACTTGCTAATTCAATTAGTTGAAAAGGAATAGAAAAAACTGGGCATTTTCAGAGATAAATTCAACTATATGTGATTGTTATATGTGTACATTTATGTTACAGACATATATTTACTAGTGTAAATACTACGGTAAATTAAGCATTATCTTACCAAAGTCTGCCAATTTCAGTTCACCTAACTCACTGATCAGCAGATTCTGGGGTTTCAAATCTCTGTAAAATATATAAAGAAAAATTCAGATGCAAAACTTACATTTTACATATTATATCACATAGCTTGGGGAGATGGGGGGGGGGGGGCAAAAAAAAGTATTTGCCTGAACGTGTCAGGAAAGCCTTACAGAGTATGATTAAGCATTCTAATAAGGGTATATAGTGATAAACTTTTCACTTGTGACATAATGAGAAATGTTAATATATCAAGAGTTGTCTTTCTTTGAATTAGATTTTTTTCCTTGATATCAGATGTGCTCATGAGATATTTTGGCACAATCAAATTCAATAAAAATTTTGAAACAAAATACAGAATGCTAAATACATGTATGTATAAATTCATGGAACACCACATTTATAGAAATGTAAAGATGAAACATTTAAGACAAAGACTTTGTCGTACAGTGACAAGAACCCTGACTCACCTGTGTAAAATTCTTCGCTGATGACAGTAGTTTAGGCCTCTGAGCAATTGGAATAAAAATAACTGCAACAAAAAAAGACATTTAGATCTGTACTTGGATGGAAGTGCCTTTCTTGTTCAAATTACAAATACTGAAGCTGAGATAATCTTTTATTGCCAACAATGTAAGACCCCTCCCCCCCTTGCCAATTTTTACATTTAAATAAATCATACATGTACCAGTCATAAAATATAAATCCATTAAGGTACAGATATTGCAGGGTACTTGAAATTGCAATAAGCAAACAAAATAAATGAACACATACCTTGATATTAAATGCATTTAAACCACCTGGGTGTTTTTCTAAATATTGACTAAGATCTGTATGCTGGAAAAGAGACAAAAATAAATCTGAGTAAACTTACAATTTACAAATAAATGAACAAAAAACACAGTGAATTAAGGTCTTCATATCTATATGCATATCATAACAGTTGGACAACATTTATTTTTAAAATCTTGTAATAGTATAAGAGCAGAATTTTTTTCCAGAAATTATTGATACAAGTCATGTAATTTTTTTTATTATTCTAAGCTGATGATGCCATGGATTTTGATAGGGCACAGATAAAATGATTTTATATATCTATGAATGTTCTCTAGTATACAACTATTCTCTCTTCTGTGATGGCTAGGATAATACTTTACATCATATGTTTCAACCAAGAATTCAACTTGCTGTACTAATGTTGCTAATAATATCATTTGCATTAAATCTACTTACTACAAATTCAAAAACAAAAGTCAGAGTTTCCTTGGTATGAATGATATCATGTAAGGTCACAATGTTGGCATGCTTTAACCCACGTAGGAGAGAGGCTGAAAGAAAAAAATTGAGAAATCAATGACTACAGTGGTAAAATGCGGGATATAATTTTTGATGTATCCTCTCAAACAGTTTGACAATATTTTGTTATCAGTGCTTAACACTTTATCAATAATGCACACCACTCAGGTGACGAGCACGTACAAATCTTCATTAGCTTTAACCACAAGAGTTTATTGATCTAAATTTATAATTTGATGAAAAGTGACAATGAGGATTAATTGATATATTAATGATAAATTTATCAAGGATAACTTTAAATTTAGTGTTTTACTTTTTGTTTTGATTAAAATTGTCGAGATAAATATTTAACAACAGGAAAAAATTATTAATTTCTGTTTTAAAAACAAGCAACCATAAATCAATTTCTAATACAAGTTATCTCCATAAAGATAATCCTTTGAGTTAAATATCTTTGTCAATATCAGGATTACTTGAAAAAGAATATTTCCTCCTAGTGAGGGTTTATGTACTTTTACTTGTGCAGCTCTGATTTGAGATAAAAAAAAATGTTTTACATAAGCTGTTTACAAATTTTATGACTGCACAATCTGCACAATCTTTCTCAAGTAACAACACAGGAACGGCATAATGTCGACTTAACATTAATGTTCATTAAAATTTGAATTCTACATAATTAACAAGAGCATACACTCCTACACATAAAAAATTCTTTTCCTATTTTTTATTTTGTTTAAAGGTCATGTACATAATTCATATAATTATTAAAACAAAGACAAAAATAATACAACATGCTAGATGATGAATTCAAATTTACCTTTCATAACATAAAATAATTTGATACCTACTTTATATACCTTCTCAAATAGAACTTATAAGAAAACACAAGATTTGAAACCTCCTTAAAGGGGCCTTATGGAACTCTACAAGATTTTATTTCTTCTCAGTGGAGCTCATTTAAACAACATACATATTCAATATGTGGTACCTTCTAATATGCACCTCATATAACAGTGCAATATTTGGTACCTTCTCATATGCACCTCATATAACTGTGCAATATATGATAACTTGTCATATGCACCTCATATAACTGTGCAATATTTGATACCTGTTCATATGCACCTCAAATAACTGCAATATTTGGTACCTTCTCATATGCACCTCATATAAATGTATATGTACCTCATATAACTGTGCAATATTTGGTACCTTCTCATATGCTCCTCATATAACTGTGCAACATTTGGTACCTTCTCATATTGCACCTCATATAACAGTACAATAATTTGTACCTTCTCGTATTGCACCTTATTATGAACAGTTCAATATTTAGTACCTTTTCGTATTGCACCTTATTATGAACAGTTCAATATTTAGTACCTTCTCGTATTGCAGTGAATGGAGCCCCCTCCTCCTGCTGTAGGCGGATTTCCTTCAATGCTATCACTTGATTGGTTAATCTGAAATTTAAAAGACTTTACTAGAAAAAAAACAACAATGATTTTAAAAAAAGAACCCTACATCATAACCTTTACTTAAAACAAGATTTCAGGATCCTCAAACACTGATATATGAAGAAAACAAAATATCACAATCTCAGATACTAATTATGTTTGTTCTACTTTGGTTTAGAATAATATACATACTTGAAAGAATCCCATTAGCCAAGAAACACTGCAATAGGTTTCTTATATCAAGAACAAATTAAGTTTCTGAATCAATAACTATTTGTATAGTGTTACTGTTGAGGACTCAGTCACAGAAATGAGTTTCCTCCACCATTTGTCAATTTATACCCTAACTTCCACTAAGTCAAAGATCATTATTCCTAGTAAGAAACTATGGCAACCACTTTACCTCTATTGCTTGCTAAATTCAAAGAAAATATTGTCTCGAAGATTGCAATTTCCTATGTGTAATATGACAATTACATGTGGTTTACAAAGGTAACAGTGGAATATTATATCAATTATGTTTCTATCATAGAGGTGTTATTTTCTTGTGAGAAGAGGAATAAAAATAGAAGTTCAAAGGAAGAAATAGATTGCATATGTGTTGACAATTTATTGATGCACTGCAAATTTAGAACATATCAGTTTTGTGAGATGTTTTTTATTCAATCAACCTAAAACTATGGGTATGTTTGATTGCTGAACTAATGTTCTACATAAAAATGGCCCTAGCTCATAGAGTCACAGAATGTGTGTGAGACCCAGGCTTAAAATGTTGTATACTGTACTTTGAAATAAAGTTTTTGGATCCATTAAATGACAGAATTTTTTAAACAGCAATTCAAATCTAAATAAAACTTAATGTTAAGTGCCTAAAATGTCTTATTATACAGTCCCTGAAACGTTCTACTTTCCCATTTTTCCGTTCGCTCACCGTTCGTTCACCGTTCGTTCAGCGTTCGTTCACCGTTCGTTCAGCGTGCGTTCACCGTTCGCTCTCCGTTCACAGTTTTGCGTTCACCGTTTACCGTGCGCTCGCGTTCACCATTCACAAAACGTTCACCGTTCGCTCTTCGTTCCGTTTACTCTGCGTTCACCGTTCACTTATTGTTCAGTCTTTATTGTCATTCGGAACTCCGAAGTGAAGGGACTTATCTTTTTTATGGTAAGGATTTACACGTTTTTTAATTAAATAACTAAGATATCGTGTTTGAAGAATAATTATTTCAATGCAAAAAGTATCTACGATATTTATATTTCTTTTATTTTAACTTAGCTGTTACTTTATTCGAAAAAATTCCCTGGAAAATACATGAAATACATTGAGAACCTGCATGTAAGTAGAACGATGCTTAAATATTAAATTTAAGTAAGGGCAATGTACAAATACTTCAAGCGCGGCATTTGAAATCGTTAATGGATGGATAATATTCCAAGTCTTTCACAAGACAAGAATATACAAAAAATTATTTCTAACACGTATTCAAAGAAAAAATGCACGAAAACATGCTAGAACTACATATAGGTCTGAGAATTATGGAAAATACTGCAGATATTCAGTAAATTAAATATTTGTAGAGCGAATGAAATTGATAGTGTGATTTTAAATTAAAGAAAACACCAACTGTTTAAAATGTTATACATGAGAATTTTTGTTCTACTTTACGTATATAAAGTGTATAATTAGAAAGGGAAAAAAACCTTCCTTCACTGTAACGAAATAATATGTTTGCCATTCAGAATGATTAAGAGCCCCCCCCCCCCCTGGTGCCTTTTCTCCCGATATCAAATTTTTACTTAGTATTTTCAGTATATATTAATTAATATTCAATGTGTATTGTAACACAAAAAAAAAATGATTCTTAAAACAAACATCAAAACAATCATTATATACATACATGTGCCGACAGTGGTATTTTGATTTGGCAGGGATTATGTTTCAAATTCAATTTCAAACTTCATACTTCCCAGTATATACATTTATTTCCATTATTTATTTATTTTTTCCGTAGAAAAGCGAAAATCAAGTATAGAAATGATGTCAAAAATGTTAAAACTTCTTTGAAATACTAAATGACTCTTTGACTTCGGCATGTTCGGTGAAGCGAGATTTCAACACCTTTGTGTCGAATTATTTTGATTGACAGGACAAGCACGTGCACTTCGAGTGAATTGTATGAACTTGACGAAGGAAAATAAAAGCCGACGCTTAAACCTTACTGTCTAATGGATTTGTTAATCTTTAAAAAAAAAATGATTACTTTGACTGTCTGGAATATTAGAAAAAAATGACATGATTTTTTTTCGATGCAACAGATATCTGAGAATCGAGAGGTCTTACATCTCTCTCTCTTTCTCTCTCTCTCTTGCTTTTACATTTGTCCTGTTAAATAAAATCTAAACAAATATATTAATTATTTAGTTCTGAAAATCTAATCTATTACAAATAATTTGAATGTCTGTCTCCATTATCTTTTCCAAGTATAATCACGGTCGGGAAATGTCTTCAGATATACATATACATGTAAATCTTTGCTAAAAAAAAAAATCATAAAAATAACAAATACATATATGATTTTATTGCATTAAAATTTTAAATACGGGTGTATTAATGCAATACGTCAACCGACCTTTGTAAATTAATAAAAAATCATTATTTTACACGGAATCGCCGTGGCATCGAAATATAAAGTATAATGTTTTTACAACTGTGGTACAATCATACAATGTAATAAATTCATTCTATAAGTAGTAGTTTTCTCTTCTGAAGACTGTGCACATTATTTTATTAGTTAAAAGAATTTATTTTTATCTTATTAGTAAATTAATTTTATCTTTTATACTACACGTGTTCGGTAACAATTACACATGTTTTACGGCAATAAAAATCGTGTTATGAAAATATTGAATTAAAACATCATATGTATGTGCAGAAAAAAATGTTCTAATTATTTATTCACTTATTTATTTATTGTTTATTTATATTTTAGCATCTAACAATAGAATACAACAGAATACTTTAAATGCAAGGGAAAAATCTGAGGCATTCCGAATAAATTGTTCATCTTGCGTTCACCGTTCACCGTTTGCGCTCCGTTCGCGTTCTGCGTTCACTCACCGTTCTCCGTTCACACATCGTTCACCAAGTTGCGTTCAGCGTTCATACATCGTTCACTCACCGTTCGCTCTGCGTTCGTTCACCGTTCGTTCACCGTTCGTTCAGCGTTCGCTCACCGTTCAGGTGGGAAAGTAGAACGTTTCAGGGACTGTACCTCATTATAAATATTCTAAACAACGCGTTATCTGAATGGTTCTAAGTTATCACGTGATCGGGCCGTAAAACTTCATATTTCCCGACCATCGGCACGCTTTTCATCATATTCCACCTCTTCGGAACACCTAGTGTATTTTCCCACGATATAGTTCTTGTTCGTTGAACAAAAACTCCCGAGAGAAGTAGACGTCACAATAGCCTGGTTTACGTCATAAAACTGATGATAATGTGTTGAACAATGTGTTTTACAAAAACTTTACATAAAAAATGAAAATGAATTTGAGAGAGGTGCCGAATTTAAAAGTTTATGTTTATTTCAAAGGTTTTGCTTGTTTCGGTATAATAAACAATTCATTGCATGAATGTTCGGGAAACATGAAGACTTATTCAGCCAAGAAATAACATATTCCCCTAGGGCAAAGCCCTCGGGGAATATGATTTTTCTTGGCTGAATAAGTCTTCATATTTCCCTCACTATCATGCAATAAATGTATATTATGTTACTATTGGATTTTTTTGAGGGAATATCAAGAAAATGCATGAGAAACGTGCATCATCTTAAAATGTGTGAAAAAGTGACATGCTCTGAATGGTCCAGAGTGTGTAAGGAAAATGTGTGTTAATTTGTCTGATGGTAATCTGTTAAAGTACTAATTAATATTAATAGAATTAGCAGGAAATATTTTTTAATAATGGCACAAACCGTTTTCAGGTGGTGTATATTCTAATTCAGTACTGCCAGGATACTTGGAAGATTACAATGTTATGTAATGAAAATATAAAATTCCTGTATGCATGACGTTATTATCAATTTTGCTGTGTGTCTTGTATATTCGAAGTATTCATGCTGATAACATTAGCAAAATATTGTGCATTGCTATGATTTTTACATCATGTACATATTAACTCATTATTTTCTTAATATAAAAATTAATATAAAATTGACCATACTTAATAGTATCCTCAATGTAAACCTTACAAGTGGAAAGCCACTGCTTTGTGAATTATGAACTTATGAATTTGGCTTTATGTTAGACTGGGTCATGCATATTGTACATACAAAAAATAAATGCTCATTACATTTGTGCTCATTATAATTTATGGAGCATTGCTCTAATTTTAATACATTTACTCAATCATGGTCTATGTTTAAATATTATGGCACATACTTAACAGTCTCATTAATTTTTACCAAAAATGGCATGTGTCCATGAACTTTTTAGATCGTTTTCATCTATATAATATACTGTTACATGTAATGATATAATCAATAACATTAAACAGCTGTATGATGCAAGTCTCTAGACGGGATAATTTTCCACATCTTGTTACAATCTAAAACATTTGTGATGGATCGAAGAAAATTTTAAATCAAATCTATAAATATCAAATTTTTTTAAATAATGGTTTATTGTTATTGGTTCTATCAATAGCTTTTGAAACATCCAAAAGTAAGCACTTATTTTTTGATAGTTTGTTATAGGTATATATTACAGTAAAATTTGATTAAAAAGAACACAGATATTGCAAATTCACAGATAAAGAGAAGTTATCTTGGATGCAGCTATATAAATTTAACAAATTCCTTATACGCAGATATAACTAATTACGGATATAGCGAAGTAATTTCATAGGTCCAAGTGACTTTGCTTTAACCGAGTTCTACTGTAGGTTATTGGGTAAGAAAATAAGACATATAACATTTAAATCTGTATTATTAACTTACGAACTAAATCCTTTGAATACTGTTGCATAAGATCCTTCCCCCAGCTGTTCTAGCTTCTGGTAGGAATCTGCTCTTCCAAAGGGAGAGTTACCCTGTTTAAAGAATGCCATACATTTGAATATCTCAACTTATCTTAATAATCTATTAAATAAATTCTAGTTAGCAATTCTTGATTTTTATAAAATGCAAATAAAATATCAAAGGAGTAAAAAATATACAGCTATTTAAAACTCTCTCATTTCTAACCTTTGAGCTTCAGTATGCAGATCTCAAATACCAAGGATACGTTGAAGTGAATTAGAAGTCCTAAACACTTATTCTTTCAGTATTTTACACTTGATATCTCTGATAATTGTCAGATGTTCTCTAATAAGTGAGATAACAAGGTTTTACTGTACTTGCACTTTTCAGTACATGTAGTACGTACCTTGATAGTACTTATCCAAAAACAGCTGAAATTTAGTCCAAGCCAACTAAGTAGGCCCTGTACTGATATCGTCTTCCTTTCATCTACCTATTTCACTCAAAACTCATAATCCTAACAGAACAAAACCTTCATTTTCATTACCAGGTATTCCATGAAGCTTCTAAAATTATCAAAGTTTCCCCAATAACTAGAGGTTTTCTTGGGTAAAAACTAGTTAAAACTTACCTCATAGCTAGAGCTTCTTCTAAGTGAGAACTTGTTCAAACTTACTACATAACTAGAGGTCCTCTTGGGTGAGAACTGATACAAACTTACCCCATAACTAGAGGTCCTCTTGAGTAAGACATGACACAAACTTACCCCATAATTAGAGGTCCTCTTGAGTAAGACATGATACAAACTTACCCATTAACTAGAGGTCCTCTTGAGTAAGACATGATACAAACTTACCCCATAACTAGAGGTCCTCTTGGGTGAGAACTGGTTCATGTATTTGTGGCCCTCGGATCGGGGCCGCTCGTGCTTGCTGTGTCCGTCTACTCCTGATTCAATCTCTAATCCATCGAGCATGTCCCCCGCGGAATGGTGTCGCTTTACTGGGGCATGCTTCTTGCCTACAAAAAAATTGATTTGCCATATTCACTAAGAACAATCCTTTGATTGAAGCCAGTACTTCTATAACAAAGATCTATTAGTAACTGGCCGGGGCTGCTGGGATATTCTTGTCAAAGGTTACAATTAAACCTCAGAAATGTCAATAAATGGACCCTACATAACCTAGTACATATATAACTCTCCCAGATCATTGATTTAGACTGTTGTGTATAATCTGTGTTACTTGACAGAGAAATCGTAGTTGTGGTTTTCCTATACATTTATACATAATATCTTGTCTGAGATGCCTTAGCGTTGTTGACAAAAGTGTTCCTTTGAACTTTGAATACATGTTTAGTAATCAATATATGAGCCGAACTTTAAATTCCTATCATTAAAAGTGCATTCTGAACAATTCTCGGACACAAGCCATGCACATTGTTAAATAGAGAATTAAGTTTTTGAAATAACACACCCTTCAATACAATAAGAGGTGCAGCTTAAGACACCTTCTTGTCACAACATCTTACGGATTTATAAGTAGCTTTACTTCAATACATTTTTATCTGTGGAAGCATTAATTTTTTTTTGTTAGATTGGCAGAGAAATGTCAGTTTCTGAAATACCCCATGAATCTACATGTATATAGCTGGTCAGGAATCTAGTTCAAAATGGTTCATAATAAATACTTGTACTGTAATTTTGATATAATTTACATTGATGTTGTCTGAAATAGAATTTTAAGTTAAATGACATTTTGAAAGCTACATTCACAATTGCTACAAAAAACAGAATTTATTGTTCCACACATTTTCTATTTTGTTCAAATACATGTAGTAATATAACCCTGAGTTGTTCAATTTTATGCTAAATTATCACACCATCATTTCATTAGGTAATTCTTGCAACCCCCTAAATATCCTATACACACACATTATGAGGAAAAATCAGACATAATTTAGAATAAAACCTTTTAAAATAGCCACAAAACCAGCAGTTTCTAAGAAGTAATGACTTGAGCCAATGTTAACTTCAGTTATGATTCTTTATTTGCGGAGTATGATGAATCAATGGCGACATTTAAGTGTGCATGCAGAAACAAGTCGAGGGAGATTTACGTGTGATCCCTTATTTCTCCTGCACCCTTTCTAACACCAGCCATCAATTATTCAATAATTTTCTCTCCTCTGGAGCCAGAAAATGAAAAATATATATATTCAGCACCAAAGCATGACAAAACCTGTAAGATATGCATACTACGTAACGAGAGTGAAAGTGTCAAAGTCTTAGAGATGCATGCCGTTCATTTTTGTATGATAAAAAGATTATGTATGAGCTGGAAATTAATAATTAGTAAAAAATACATTTAAGAAGAAAAATGGAAAATAAATGTAATTTACAAGAATTTATCTCATTCCTAGGGTATTATACTTAATTGAGCTTTACGAATCGATATCTTAAGAAATTATGGTCTGAATCAATTTCCATTAATTTACACTCAAAAAATTAAATATTCTCATACACTCGGCATGAAAATCTGATAAGTTTTATAATAATGAAATCCAGATGATAATTCCAGACAAATTGTGTTTCCACATTTTCACAGATGCATTTACTCTGCCCAGGAAACAATTTGCAAAAACTTCATAAATGCAATGATTCACTAAATTTACTATGCAACATCTGGAGTTTTGCTGAGTTGCAGTTATAACTTGTAAGAAAAGGAACAACGAAATGTACAGATTGTTTAACAGCTTATACAGTGCACAAAGGTACTATATAGTTAAAACAACTGTTGAAATTTGGTGTATATCTTTCAAAAGCACTAATGTCAAACTGAGTCTATGAGGTCCTAATTAAGTCCCAACGGCATAGTTAGAATTCTGAACCTTGGCTCTGATGACTTGATCCTTTAGACGTTTTAAAAAAAATTTTCATTTCTGCTGAGTTCAAGGCTTTAATTTTTTGTAATATGTACAAGTATAAAAAAAAAAAAGGGGGCATGAGGATCTTTAGATATTACGATTTTCTCTCTGACCTAGTCCATAAGGGATTTCCTTTACATTTGAATTAACTATGAATTACCAAAAATTATCTTGATCATAAGCTTAAATAAATTTGCATTTTTATTGCATTTTTTCAACTTTGCCATGTTAATGGTAAATTTTTGCATGGAAATTTCAAGCAAGACCGTCACTGAAAAGGTGGACAACTCTTGCTAGTCTGTAGTAAGACATTTGAGAATGGGACACAAATTCATATCAGTTATTGTAACAGAGCCACTTATATGTAATAATCCCTCTGATTTCACCCTCCTTAGAGCACTAAGCTTTCATCAATACCCCCACAGCATTGCTTTAAATACAGAGAGAGACTGGCTCTCTAATTATGTCGACTTAACCCCCCTCTGATCAGAGACCTGGGATCATAATTATCATACAGCCATAAAGGCCATACAACACAAATAAAGATGAAAAATTCATGTGATGGTGTTCACTGCCTATTACATAATAATCACTTCCCTGAAACTGCTGACTTTGTGGCAATACTGTCTCAACTATAATTAACTGAGTTACAAAGGGGCCTTCATATACATTGTGTGGGTTTCTTCAATATTGAATAAGCTTAAAATGCAATTATCTAAATGCCCAAAAACACTGAATAGGGAAAACATTTTTAAAGGAGAGGGCAGACAAGGGAATTGGGAGTTTCCTATGCATACTTATTTAAAATGAACTAGAAAAATTAACACTGCAGACACTAAAAATCTTCAAGTGCTCTTCATGTGTGGGCAATGACCTTACAAAGTTCCAATATGGGACCCCAGGGAGCAACATAAATTCTTATTTCATGAGAATGTAATAACATCCATTTAAGAAGTTACCTTAACATAATAAAAGCTAGCTAAGGATCCTTATAGACAGGTATATTAGTGAATCATCTAAGGCAGTCTCCAATTAAATCTTTTTTTACCATGCAGAGCTCTTCATTCTTTGCCAGCTAAATCCCTCATAATGAAGTCACAGTGAATCACCGACTATAACTTATTCTGTTGTACAATAGGACCAACTTAAGATGTCTTATAAATCAATGTCTCAAAGATATAAACTTTAGTGTCATTACATCACCTAGCTTTTATCTTTTTTTTTTTTGCTTGTGATAGATTTTGTAGATCAATATTACTTTCATACAAACAAACCAAAGTGAAACACTTTCAGTCTAATATGACCTTTTTTCTGTTCTAATTATTCTGAGAAACCAAAAATTACTCCCAACAGTCTTGGATCATAATTACTCAATATTAAGGAAACCAAAAACTGTAATACTGGAAGCTGTTGAATAATCTGAGTCAAAAGGCCTTCTAGCTTTGTTTGAAAATTTACGACCTTTTACTTGCATCAATATAAGGTCAATTAACGGAACATATTATGTCTACATACTTTTATCTTACTTAAAGAAAATGGAAAAAAAACCTTGCAAGCTAGTCTGTAATCTTTTCACTTTCAAAAATGCTGTTGTATTTCTAGAAAACTTAATATAATTGACCTACTGGAACTACGAGGAACCACCGCGGGCCGGCCTAGCGTGTGATACCCGTCAGGGTGTCTGTTGGCGGGGTGGGTGATGCTGTTAGGACCCATGTAGTCATCTTTGTAGCTGCACCTCTGGAGAGCTAGGTTTGGTGGGGATGTGGAATTCTCAAAGACAGAATAACCGTTTGTTCCTTGAAATCCTGGATCAGACTAATAAAAGATAAAAAAGAACAGAGAACAGCCATTAATTTCCTGTATAAAAGTGTTTTTTGCGCCTAATGTTGTGGGTTCAATTACATATATCACCGCCAATAAATAGACTGACAGATCCTTGAACCCAATGATCCATCATAGGAAGAAGGAGAGCTATGTATCCAATTGATTGAATTAAATGTATAGAATATCTGAAATGTTTCTGGTAGCCCATGATTTCTGTGACAGAATTTCAAAAGATATTGATGTATGAAGCCAGTGGAGTTCCTTAATTGGCAGCCACCATCCATCTTGCCAGTTAAAGCAAATTGTCTGAATAAACGGCTAACACTATGGTGAAAAAACATGTATTGCCAATTTGAAATAATGTGACGACTTCCATGATTTATGGCTGAGGATTTTTAACCCTAAAATTGCTGGAAACATTAATTTAAGCATGAAACCTTAACATACAGACAAATTAGTGCTAAAATATAATGGACATACAAGTACCCCTGTAATAAATGGGAAAATAATGATGCAATTATATCACTATCTCTGAATGGTATACTATTTGTCCATTTACAGAAGAAGAAAAATTCTCATACATGTATTCAACAATGCTAATTGAGCAGAAATACAATCAAAGATAAAGACTGTAACAATTCATCCTTCTTTTAAGTCTTGCTGGCAATCATACATCAATAAATTGTACAACTTCCTTATAGAAATCATGGTTTTCACATCCATGCATGTAAAATAAATAGGGCTGAAGAATAATATCAATATTTCAGCATATTGCAATTTGTTAACAAAAAATAATGTATTTATTGCAATGCAGTTTTCCAGTATCAATATATTGGGAAACTTCTTAATTAAAATATGAAATTAAATTATATCAGGAATTTTTATAATCATGATAATTGTGTCAAGCACTCTGCTTACAGATGGCGGTTAATAACTTTTTTTTCTTCAGGTTTTAATACATTTCATGAATTTCTTTACATTTTTAAAGAAAACTACTTAATTAAAAAGAACTTACAATTAAATATAACAAGAAACTTTAAGCAGCAACTTACCTCTTGATCACTTTCGTGTATTGTATCCTCTTTGGAAATAGCTGAAAAACAACAGAGAGGAAAAAAATCAGTGAAATCAACAGTGAATATTTTTTTTAGAGAGTTGTATTATAGTTTCCAGATGAGGAAGAACAAGTTCCAGCTCCCCTTTACACTCACGGCTCCCGATTCTGGCTCAGCCCTCTTGAGACTAGAGAAAGCCATTGGAAATGTCAGATTTGGCTGCTCTAAAAGTTACCTAGACAGCTGTCAGAGGGAAAAAATATCTCTTCTTCTTGAAGATTACTCAAGTTTTTTGAACAGTAAATGTATTGTTGGAGGTCATTAAAATTACAAGAGTGTAAATATAATTTGCTTTAAAATGATAAGCAAAGATGCTGATTAATTTAGAAACTCACAACTGTTGACAATATAGATAATTTTGAGATGTAAGAGCTAGCATAATTTGGTTGTTCCTTCATTCTAACATGTATAACACTTTAATGTTCACTAGCTTTCAAAAACATATACTTATTCTTTTAATCTTATATAATTTATAGCATATTTGCACTATGCATATTTGGTGCAAGTTACCCATGTTGTGAAAAACCCATGCTGTGTGAGATTAAAAGTGATTATAACTACAATATATTTGACTTGCGGTCTTTTTTGTAAAACATTTCTGTAAAACATAGCACAACTTTCATGTGTTCCATAATCTATACTTGACCTTTATTAAAGAAGGTATTTACACAAGATTAACTTTCATTAAGTAAATTTATTTAATAGATTAATCAATATAACTATTTAAAAAATCCACATCTGCTGTGTACAGTTGACAAGAGACTATCAGATTTATAAAAAAAATATATATAAAGCTCTTCTGCTCAAGAAGGTACATAACTGATCAATCAATATTGTGACTGTCCTTAATTAATTATGACCCTTCATAAAGTACAGGATGATGTCATATGCATACCTTAACCAGCCTGGGAAGTCAACTTTTTGACCTTGTAAATGTTGAAACCAAAAGAATGAAAACACTGAATCTAATGATCTGTGTAATTATACAATTCAGGCCCTGTTTTGCCATGTTTCTTTGCATATGTACTACATTAAAGTGAATGGAAAATATCACTTGATCCTTGAATTCATATAAAACAATTTCAGTCTAGACAGTTTTATAAAACTAACATGAAATTGCAGACAGGTATTGTATTATAAAAGTTCCAATAACTTAAATGTATAACCTCCACTCTCACAATTTTGCAAGCAGCTAACAATCCTTAAAAAATGTAAGCAATTCAAACCTTTCTGTTGCATATATGTACTGTGGCAACCAAATGTTACAAAAACATTTCTAAAAACAAAGCTCCCTGCAGCTGTCATAGATTTCTTGCTCAAGACATTTATTCTGTTCTAATTTACCAGTTAATGTATAGAGGCCCTCCCTTCTTCTCTGCTGTTCCTTTAATAAATTGTTGGTTCCAAACACAAAAATGGACTGGCAAGCAAAAGCTTAGAACATCAATAGTTTTTGAAATGTTGAAATAAGAAAATTTATGAAGACTTCTATCAGCTTCTAGGATGCAATATGCATTCCAGTGTGTGTAAACTCTGTCTAATATGTTTAATATTGTGAGTTTATGACTACAGTGTAGCAATTTATTCAACCTACAGAGAAAATTTATTTTTTATGTGAATAATTTTTATGCCCCCATAATTAATGGAGGATTCTGGGGCTTAAAGTTAAATAGTGCCCTGCATGTTTATCTGCCAGTCTGTCTGCAAAATCTTTAACCTTGCCCATATATTTGATTGGTTGGTCGAGGGGCTTTCATATTCCACAAGTACATTGTCCTTGCAATCTTTCTCTGGGTACCAAAATATTTTACCCCTTAGACCTTGACCTTGGAATTAGACATATACTTTTGCAAAATTTTACCAAACATTAATTTTGGCCTATATAACTTTTGAACAGTTGGTGCTAGGCCTTTCAGACTTCTCAAGTATATTTTCTGTGATTAGATCTTAAATTAACCTGCATGGGTTTAAATATTTTTTAACTATTGGTCTTGACTTTGAAGTTCGATCTACTTTTGAAATACTTTAACTTTAGCCATACCTTTTGAATGAAACATATGAAGATAAGGAAACAGCATTCAATATCGAAAGTCCACAAAAAATACAAAATAGGAGAACTCTGAGCAAACACTCGGACCTCCAACACATCAGAACTGGGATCAAGTGCCATGTGAATAATTTGTGCTGGCTTTTGTACTTCAGAGTGTTTTTACTTGTGACAAGGCCATCTATTGGATACCAACAATTTGACCCTTTGACCTTGATCATGAAAATTTACCTATTTTTGAAAAAAACTTTAACCTTTGCCATACCTTTTAAACAGTGGGTGCTGAGGGGATTTCACATTTCTCAAGTGTATTCTCTAAACCTTCCCTTGAGCACCATTGCTTTTTGACTCTTTGACCTTGACATTCGAGCTTGACCTACTTTTGGAAAACTAATCAGTTGGTCACAACTTTTGAACAGTTAACATTGGTGCTAAGGCTTCCTTATTTCACATGTCTTTTCCTTGTGAAACACTCTCTTTGGAAACCATTATTTTTTTTTTATCTCCTGACCATGATCTGGAAAGTCTGAACAATAACTTATGGCATGAGCTGCCATATGGATATGGAGACATCAGTGTTTCACAAACACATCTTGTTTTTAAAGATGATAAGGCCATTCTAAAAATATGTATCTTTTATGATTGCAAACACATAATTTTTTTTTAGGCCAAACAAAAAATAGCCCATTAAAATACATCTATTTACAAGAATAAGGGATTGAGTGTCATGAAGCCATTTAAATCAAAACTACAAAATATTTAGTTATTTAGCAATTGAATTTTGTTCTATAACTTTAAGAGCTATATTTTGACATATCTATTTTAACTACAGTTTTCAAGAGCCCTAGCTCTCATATATGTTACAAATATAATATGACACTAAGCAAAATCATAAAAATGTTAGGATAATAAAAATATATTTCTGCAGTAAGTTCATCATGCTTTAGGAATGAATTAACCAATTAAACCAGAGAACCATATTACTTGATATTTTTTCCCAAAAATGTGATTCCAATAAATATAAAATTGGCAAAAATGCAGAAAACAACTTGTTATAATAACATGCATGTGGAAGTTCAGTTTCTTGCTCAAGTGTCATGGCATTGAACAACTGACAGTCAAACTGGAAGATGCAAAAGCAAGGTTATATGCAAAACATCTATGAAGTGTTGCAACAATATGGCCAGTTACAGAAAAAAATCATTTCACTGCAGCAATGTATTTGATCAAAAGTACTTAACCTATAAGCATAGCAATCTTGGGTACAGCATGTAAAGAAAATGTCAGATCATATTGAGATATTTCTCTGTTGAGCATCTTGCAATATTGGTAATATTTTGCTATAAACATAATTTCAGAGATTTCACTATAAGTGTGAATGCGAAATGGCTTAGAGATAAAATTCTCCCTTAATTTGGATGTCTATGAAACCCGTGATATAGCAAACGACTTCCTTGTTTGAAAAACTATAAAGTGACGAGACATAATGTGCAGGGATTTTTGGCCTTGCATAAAAATCAATGCCCATCAGAATCTTAACTTGTCAGTCTGTATCTTATTTCACTGAATGATGGACTGCAACAAAAGACACTTTGAACATCAATATACCAACCAAGGTTCTCTGAAGGAGAATGGGCAACCAACTGCTTTCAGTATCTGTAATGAAAATTCCTTATCTGCTAAAGACATGCCACTCAAACTTATTTTCTTGACTGAATTGATGGTTGGAACCAAAAATAAGACAATTTACATGAAAAAGTTTTCTCTATAATGAGGTGATGAGTTGCCAACATTAGGAGGAAAAAAAATGAACCAATTTTTTCACTTTCAGGTCATTCAAAAACTTGTTCTATTTCAGTTCTTTATATATAATCAACCTTGTTTTCTTAGATTGGAAGTGAGGCTTAAGGAAATAAGGTTACGACTGATACATTCATTACTGAAACAAACAGTAATCACATTTTCATGGATTTCTAACCCCCTAGTCTTGTTTTGGACCAAAACTTCTGAAGATTTGTATTTGTATTGCTTCCTTCCAATTCTGTTCATTATTCATATGCAATGAATGTACTTGACCAAAATATGATAATGGTGGTTTCAACTATATACTGACTGTTATAGATGCCTTTAATTCCTTTACTTCTTAATTACATGTACTTTCTACACCAGCTGTTAAGAAATTATGAGTCTTTCCTTGAAACAAAACTGATCGATGTTTTTATTCACTTTTGATAAAATCAAAAACCATGCAAAGAAGAACTTCTTAACTTTTTCATTACATGGAAGTTTAGAAAATTTCTTATCTGCCAAATTATGACTGACTTAATCAATCAAGCAGATGATATTTTTATCCTTTTCTCCTCTGCCTGTATAATATAATGCAACCATTCCCAACAGCAATTTCACTTTATGTACAATTCCTCCTTTTTATGTGCAAGTGGTAGAAATTGGTCATTAATTTTACATGTCATTCTGACTAACATGTTCAATCTCAGCAGTTGCTGGCAAAAAACTACTCAGACACACATAAGAAAAATGGCTAACCGAACACTATTACTTCTGCTTATATGACACACATGTCTTGATTTTTTATTATGAGAAATCAAGCTTTGGTTATCAAACAAAAACAGCTGCTAACACAAGTTATACAAACATGTACTCTGACTTTTCTTATAAATCCCAATTTCAGTGGTTCTACAAGAACCATGTGTGTTTTTGGCACCCTGAACAATAAAAATATCATTCAGGTCATACGTACAGTCATGGAATTCCTTTTGCAATGAGGCAAAGTGTGTGTCACAATTTGCTGCAACTCATGTATTTATATATTAATTAATTGGTAACCACTGATTCTGTTAGCTAATTGCAATACGCCATGTCCAGTTCATGCAACTATTTTTTGGGCAATATGTGTATCTGAAATTTTCAACTGCAATTATACAATGACTTATTTTAAATTTTTCCTTAACAAGACATACAGAATTCCCTTTTCCAAGATAATGTACATATTTGACAAAAGCTTTGGATTCTATTATACACATCCAAATTAAACAAAACAAAAAACAAATAAGCAAACAAATAAAAAACAAAAAATATAAAATTCTTTCAGGTCTACAATTTTTTGGGTTACATGCATGTCTACATGTACATGTATATATACATGTTGAAATTGAAAAAAATATTTGTTTTGTTTTCTAGCTGGCATCATTCTATTAGCTCCAAGAAAATAATAGATGATCCAGAATTAATATGTTATATGTTTTTCTTGGAAATACTAACTAGACCTGCTTAGGAAACAGCTGAGAGGAACAAACATGCACCATGTACATGTCTACAGATAACCAGGTTACAGGCATGCTGTGTTTAGCATGTCTTACAGCATCATCATCACTCATTAAATGTTTATAATCAAATCAAAAGTTCTTCCTTGACTTTGAACTATCAACTTGTCGAACTGAAATCTGAAGGTACACGTGTATTTGATTTCTATCCACTTTGAGTTACTCTAAATCATATACCGGTCTATCAAGAATCAAATAATATCTGAAATATTTCACTTCAATATTTGAATTATTTCAAATGCTTAGCAAATTATTCCTAATGCTAAGACTTTTACAACATGCTTGAAACTGCAACTACTCTTGCTGGGATGAAAACCATTTGGAAGCTCTTTATTTCTAAAACATGCAGTCTAGCTCCCTCAAAGTTTTAAGTGTCAGACTCAAGTGCCTTATATAATCTTCATGTGCATGTTCTTGTAGTAATGAATTATGATTTACAAGCCGTTTCATTTCCTAAACAGTTTAAAGATAAAATTGACTACTACTTAAAGCCCGAACTTTCTTCATTAATTTACATGGATTCAACTTTAAAACGTCAATATAAATGGACCACTGAATGCCATTAAAACAGCTGCAGCATCCAATTTTTTACGTCAATTTATAATTTACGTTTAGTAGAAGTAAACAAGATATTTTGGCAGCTGAATTTAATGGTAGATATAAATGTTTAGTGGTTCATATGAATGTTTATCAACAGCAGAAGGCATTAAGTGAAACAACTAGTGTACATATGAAACTCTCGATGTTTTCATTTCTCTAAGATTCAGTTTAACTTACTATCTAGTATGAAAGTCATGATAAAATACTCTAAATCCTCAAATTTTCAGGACACCTTTTTTTAGGGAATTACTAGTAAATAAGATATTTGGTAATTAAGTGAAACAAATGCAAGTACTGTAATTGAGGTACAAAACAAGTACATGTACTTGGTGTAAGAAATTTCAAAGCTATTTCAGATGGGACATTTTGACTGTTTCATTTACTGTATATGGGGTATGCATAAATCTAAACTAAAGGGTAGCCATTTTAATTGCTTTTTCTCTACTTTAATCCCCTAAGACTTACAACTTCAAATGCTCTCAAATGTATTTTGCCATTAGCAGATTAGATGCTTTATGAAAATGAATGTGGACAAATTCCTTTGTAGTAAATGACAACTGTGCACTTACATAGTCGACCAAAGCTGGCAGAAATTCTCCTCTTTAACTTCTTCAGCTTACTAATTTGTCGTTTCTCCTTTCCTGAAAAAGAAAGATTCAGAATCTTAAGTTTTATTCACTCAGAGTATTTTTAAGATAGTTAGAAGGAAAGCTTAAAATCACATCTCAGTAAAAATGGCAGCCAAAAGCTATGCAAGCATAACATGCAGAAAATATGCATGCAAACTTCTATAATAGCAAGAAATATTGATTGCCAAATATAACATTTTTAATACAAAGTGTCATAACAATAACTTATTTATGCAGTACATACAGAAACGTTAGGTAGCGACTTCATCAGTGTATACTACAATGTACAAGATGCATTTCTCAGTCATACAGTGATAAATGGTCCAGAACAACTAACCTTTTTCAATGAATTTCCCTGAATCAGAATATAATTATGTATTTTTTTTCAGTCTGAGGAATCAATTTGGGAAAAATAATTGTTGCTGTTTATTAAAAAATTAAAAAAATATAACCTAGCTGAAAGATCATATTTATTACCAGAATGCTAGCTGAAGTTCTTTCCTGTATCCTATAAGACATAAAGAACTATACAGACATATAGTTGCTATATACTAATTTTATTATCTGTGGTATACAACACCTTCTAAACAGTGAGAGATTTATGGTAGATCACACATCTATGATATATTGTACAGACATCCATAGCCATTAGGCTTTTACACTCTTTTATAGTTGTAAATGTACTTTTGCCTTGCCATATTCACTTGAAAAGAATATTGATTTTATCAGAAGATAAACTGTCATAAATTTCTATTAAGAACAACTGGTGGATGAAATAGTCTGTGAAAGCCTGGACTGCGTGTCACTGGTCTGCAATACTGAGTGATCTGTACAGTATAATTCATTATCAACGGGTCAAATTTGACATCTAAGCTTTTTGAATGAGTGCTTCAGCATAATAAGGTTTTTTTTATCATTTAGGTCTCTGAGGAAATTTTCCTGTTGATAAAACCTTCTCTGATCCCTCTTTCAATACAAGTTTATTACCTAATTGGCTTTCTTTATATATTCATTCAGCACAATTCTGCAGACATGTACATAGTACTGGTAAATACATTTGTTCAAATATGTACAGAAAACAACCAGAGGTACATCATGTACATTTTCCTAAGTAAACCTAAGTATGAATAGCAAAAATTGAGAAATGCAGATGTGACAGCTCCTGCTAGCCTCTAAATATGCATCACTAAACATTTTTCAAGCTCCTATATGCTCTACTCAATAAAATATGCAAAGGCGGATTACTGATACATGTCATTGTGCGAGGCCATGCATATTTATAAATAATGTGGATACATGTATTTATAAGTACATGTACTGCTAGCAGAAAGGTAGACTTCTAGTCTTAATCTAACTCAAGTACCAATAAACTCAATGAAATTTCTCTGACTTTAATTACTCTAAGACTTATAATATGAGTCTCTGACCCTGATGCAAATATTATACAGTACACGTCATGTACTGTATGACATTTATTTAGGTGTGATGCAAATATATAAATACATCTAGCATGTCAACAACACTCCTAACCTATAGATAGTCCAAATCATTGATAAATTTGTAATATATAATTTATAACATAACTGTACACATCTGATAGGGTCACCATAGTCACTAACACAATTGAGTGAGCATTATTGCTCCAATGGAAATGTATTCTGTGCAGTCTGAGTTGTGCATAGGGTCTTCTCTAACTAAACATATGTTCAAGCATGGACAGAAATTAATCTATACTGACATAAATATGTACAGTTTACATGCGATTTTGAGCTAAGGTCATGCATTCTAAGATGTCTGCAATCCAACACATACAAATTTTTCTCACATCATTTTTCATTTTCACATTTTTTTCTATTTTTTTAAAAAACAAATTAATAAATACTGATTACAGGAGATTAACTTCATCAAATTCAAGGCGAATAAAAAGAGGTTGATTTGACTGTATTTCAAATATTACAACTGACATACCAAAGTGAGGA